TTCAAAAAGGTCTTAGCGGTGCCAGTCTGGATATTCAGCTAAACACTATCACTGGTTTTCCTTCACCATTACCTAGTCAGTGCATTTGGAACCAGCAGCAGCTCATTCACTCACTGCTATGGAGACCAAAACCTGCATGGGCTCAGATGGCCTTGCCCCAAGTGTCGCAGCTCTGCTCATCCTTGCCAGGTTCCCCCAGACTTCATTTACCAAAGTGACCAAGTATGAGCCAGAAATTCAGTTCCCTCAGAAAACACCCGTATGTGTATTTGGTTTCCCCCCGAAACCAGTAACTTGCATAGGAAAATAATGGCTATTTTTCCCACTCCTGATTAGAGAAGGAATTCAAACTGTTAATCTACTCATAGAAGGCACTTACTCCCAAGCCACCCATTCTTTTAGGTCCTTGTGAATACAGAAAAGTTAATGGCCTCTTAAAAGTCAAATGTGCTCTCCTCAGAACCTGATGCTGGAGGATTGATTATAAGTGTGCACGGATCCATCTCTGCATTTGGACAGACAACAGAGCCCACCTGAACTGTAAGAGAAACTAAGCAGCGCAGCAGGCACTGTTTTGTGTTTAAGCACTCAAAATGACCCAGAAAGAGGGGTTTTACTAAAAGTAGGTAAGGGACCAGCCTCTGATGTCATTACAAACTGCTGCATCCAAAATTTCTCTGGCAATATCACAAAGTGAATACAGAGCCCAAAGACAAACATTTTCTCTGAATCAGCAACAGTTGCTCTGTTCTGGAAGGCTTCCAAATGTACCCTTCATTCATTAGGGAAAAAAAGCCCTAAAATAGACTGAGAATAACCCAGGAGAAAGAGCAACAACCACAACATTTACTGAAAGGAGAAAAGGTAAAAGAAACTGTAAGGGTAGAGAGAAAGCACAAGGTGTCAGGTATTGTACAGAGCTGAACAGAGTTTAAACATCAAACACATTGCAGGAGAAGCAGATAGAAAATTTCCACTGCCTCTCTCGGCTGCAAATCAGGAATCAGGTGAGGCAACTCTGTGCAGTCAAAGGTGAGTAAGTATCATGTCATTTCTTGGACCCATTGAATGAAAGCAGAATATGGTTCTACACTATTTGCTCTAAATCAACCACAAGTCACTGAGCTCCATGGAAGAACCACTGGATGAAATTAATGGCTTAGTATAGCAGGTCAAGCAACATCCTTGGAACTGATGCTGCCGGCATTAAGATCCATGAAGCTATAACCTCTTTTATGTCCTGATTCAAAGCTGCTCAGGTGGTAGATGTACAAATCAAAGCCTTTGGCAGCAATACCCGACTTGTAACAGCACGACTGTACTGTGAGGCAGATGAAGGAACTAATCCAGATTAAAGATACTAGTGCCAAGGGAAAAAAAGGCAGTTTTAGCTTTTGTTTTAACATGGTTTAGCTTCACAGCCCAATTCACACACGACTCAGGGCATGATGCAGGTGATAGCATAGAAAGTAGTAAGGAAAGCAGAAATGTCTCAAATCAAGATCGCCCCAAAGACTTTACATGATGAAACCACAGCCTGAGAACATAGTTGCTGTACCTAAATATTGCTACAAGCCTAAATACTTTTTTATCTAGGGATCAGTGTATGTTGAGTGATGCAGCATCACATTGAACATTGAGGATAAAGTGAAATATGAGAGATGGAAACCAGAAATCTTCCACATCTCAATCTCTTGTACCAGTACATTTATATGTATTTATATAAATCAGTGTCACGAACTAATTGGGCTTTAGCTGAACACTGGCTAGGTTTTGTAACTGATGGCACGGATCTCACGTAAGCCTCTGTTCCTCACACCTTGCTTTCAAGCTCATTCACCTGGATTGCCAGCTGCAAATCTAGAAAGCTGAAGCTTTTTTTGCTCAGATGCCTCCTAGTAATCACACATCCTTAATCTTCCAATGACATTAATCCAGTGCAAAGTCCTGAAGGCACTAAAAGGACTTTAACAGCCCTGACCAGCTCCACCTGGGTCTCCTGCCCACCTCTGCCCATTGGCCAGGGGCTCTATTTAAGCTCAGCTCTGGGCACTCACTTTGAGCTCTGCTGTAGGTGTGCCTGTTTGCGTGCTGGTCTCCTGGATGGACTGGGCTTGTGCTGTAGGTAGTGTCCTTCCTGGTGGACCCCTTTGCATGTGTTGTAGCTTGTTTCTCATTCTGCCTCCTGGATGGACTTTAAACCTGTGTTGTGAGCCTGTTTCTGGGCCTGTCTCTTGCTGCTCCTGAGTTGCCCCTGGTCCATCCCTTGTGTCTGGGCTGCCCCCTGCTTTCTAGGGCACAGAAAACTATCAGTGTAGTTCCCCTGAATCTGTACTTCTCTATCTACCTTGGCAAGGCCATCTTTGTGTTCCAGTGAGCTCCAGTTCATCTTGAGGCCTTATATTTGGTAGAGAGCATAATCCTCTTGGGTTTTGGACCCATTGTTGTGAGAGATGTGGACTTCAGCAGTGAATAACAAGTCAGGGACATGCCTGCTCTTTGTGTCGGTGTTAAGTGTGGCTCTCGCATTCCCTCTTCCCTAAGCAGATATCCCATTTCCTATTTTATCTGACAGCTACCTGTATTTCATTCCAGTTCCTTCCTGGCCTTTGGTCCCTGGCTGCTTCTCCTATCTCTTCCTCTCTAACAGAACAAACTGGTTTTCTCATGACTTGCAGCCACTTCACCTATCCTTATTTCACCTCATGCTGAAGTATAACGGGTCTCTTCCACAGCTCAGTTTCTCTTGCATTAACCAGTCTTTCTGCAATGGCTGCTTACCTCCATGAATCGCCTTCCTTGTGTGTCCTGCTTACACTGCTCTCTTATCCCCATTCTGTACTTCATTGTCACATCATGTTGCGCTCTCCTCCTTAGCTGTTTTCATCTACGAATGCTGTCTGAGATACCCACCCCTGGCAGACATGCTTTCTCTTCCATTATTCTTTACCTTTGCCAAAATACCCATCAATTCTTTTTTTGTACAGGTTTAAGAATAAGGAAAAGGTTAGTCCTTAGACCAACTGCTTTCTAAAGTTCCACGCCAGCTCCACATTTGACTCCTGCCTGCTCAGAGCTCTCCTGTCTGCTGGCTGCTTGGCTTTTCAACCCTTTTGTCTAAGCCAGTCATCCTTCCACATGTATTTGGGAAGCTGTTCAATAGCAGGGATCACAGGCAGGAAGCTTCCTTTATGCCTCACAACATGCCATTCCTAGATAGCCTCCACAAACTACAGTTTGCAGTAAACCAGTGGGCAACAAACTAACGCATCTACTGGCTGGACTCTTCCTTTCTCACTGAATTTTCCTGTTTACTTTCGGAATAACTGTTCCTGAGTGTTCACACCATCTGTGCAGTGCACTGGAAGCACAGGCTCCTGTGGAATAATGAATATTTGATCATGTCATTCAGGCTAACCCAAGATTGCATGGTTTAATTCTGCCATTTCCTAACTGTACAATCCCATTTCTTTCTTGTACTCTTTTTAACACAGTAAATGTACAGGTTGTGTGTACATCTCTCAAAAACCAGGGGGCCAGCTTACAGATTTACACTGAAATAAACTTCTGTCCGAAGAATTGACTGGATCCAAGGTTTTGGTTCTGATCTGGTTTGGAATGAGCTGTAAAGTTCAGATAATCTGAAGTTTGGGACCATTAAAATCTATGGTTCTGGGTCAGGCTCCCTTTATCTTCTCTCTCTTGGTCCTTTATTCTATGGCTTCTGAAAAGCAGCCACTGTGCCTGCTGGAGGGAACTCGTAAGCCTGAGAGAGAATTCATAAGCAGGGAGAAACTCGGCGCTGCTGCTTATTAGTATTTTTAGTTTTATCTGTAATTTGCCATCCTCTTCAGCGCCTGGACATGGATGACTCTTGTACAAAGGTCTGGAGAGGCCTCACAATGTGCTGCACCCTGTATCCTCCTGAGGTTTAGCGGTGCTGAGCTCCAGCAGCAATGCTCAGTGTTCCGTGAGGAGGCAGCCAACGGCTCTGTGCCGCAGCGGAGCTGCCAGCTGGCCGCGGAGGGACGGCGGCCTCAGCTGCGGGCTGTGCCGCGGATCTGCTCGGGAGGATTAAAACCAGGCAGCGGAGAGCGAATTGCTGCAGGGAGATGAGCCTGGCGGCAGGGGAGAGCATCCATACAACGGCTCTTCTGAGTGTCTCTCTCCTGATCCCGAGTTACCTGCTGTGGAGGGACGCGGGGGACTGCAAAGGGAGACCTGACTTGCAGGAACGGCTATGGAGAAATGTAGCTCAGTGGTGGTGAGATTAAAGGATTATTCAGTTCACACCCCAGTCAAAATGAAATTTCAGCCTCTGCTTTTTGTGTAATGTGCCATGTGCCAGAGCTGGGACAGGGGTTACTGAGTTCAGCATCCTCTGCTGCACACGAGAGGGACCGGTTCAGTTCCAGCTCTAGAACAAGTGCCTCCTTGCAGGTGAAATGCCACTAATTACAACTTCTTTTGCGATGGGTGTAGAACATGACCTACGGTACCACCTTTCCCTTCCTCTCACTCCCTATGCCACGTATTTCCTCAAGTAATTTCTTCAGGAAACCCTTTCTCTGAGGCACTGCAAGCACACACTGGACTTCTGTTTCTTAAAGAAATAAAATACCCCCAACATAAACAGCCTCCTGTAAAGCACTTCTTGGATGTGACTTGATATTAGAGTCCTGTGTGCCACATTGCAGTGTATAGTGGAAACTGGCTGTTATATCCCCGGTGTGTGAAACGACTTAAGCAGAACCCACTTCAACAGTAAATTTCTGTTTGAAGATGGGCTCCACTCTTCAGCCATTCCATCTTTTGCTCATTTTGGTTGAACATCTTCCAACTTCTCATTTATCTGGTAATAAGATGTTCTGAACGGAACACAACTTTGCCAGTAGAATTTGCCATTCACGTGAAGTCTCTGCTCTTAATTACACAGCCAAAACTTTTAGTGGGCCTGTTCTGCTGAGCTGTTTTTGTGACTGTGCTCTTTCCCCTGACAGGTTCATGGGAAGTGTGTGTGTAGACACAACACTGCAGGAGACCACTGTGAGAAATGTGCACCGCTGTACAATGACCAGCCTTGGAAGCCGGGAGATGGAAAAACAGGGGAACCAAATGAATGCAGAAGTAAGTGGGAAGGGGGTTACTGATCCAGGCTTTCAGGATGAGCACCTGCCGTGCCAGCAGGCAAAGCTTCCCAACAGACTTCTGTTGGTTTACACTAAAGGTGCTATTACAGAAATGGGATAAGTGGCTTGTCGTTGACGGAGAGCTTCAGTCTGAATGTTGTTTTACTGCATCTGACCACTGGGGCTATTGGGAAGTGGAACTTACAAGGCAGAAATCTGTTCTTCATGCAGCTACATCCCTTCATGTTTTGGTGTTCCAGGGTCTTGTGCAGGGTTTATGATCCCATCAGGTTGGTTTGTGTCACTGTAAGAACACCACACAGCTCACAACAGCCCGGCTTCTCAGACCCTGCTGAGTCTCTTGCTCTGTGTCCCAGTTTCTAGTTTTCAGGAGTATCAAGGACTGCAGGTACATGGAGTGTGTTACATTCCAATGCTTCCTCCATGATTCACAGCAGGAAAATGGTATTGCTGAAGATCAATGCGTGGTATTTGAAGATCACCAATGGTATTACTGTCTGTTGTTTAAGCCTGAAGTCCATTCTCTTGTTTGCCCCCAGAGTGTCGCTGTCACAACCATGCTGACAGCTGCCACTTTGACCTGAGCGTGTGGCTGGCATCAGGGAAGCGCAGTGGTGGGGTCTGTGACAACTGCAAGCACAACACAGAGGGACACCGGTGCCAAAGGTGCAAACCGGGGTATTACCGCGACAGAGGGAAGCCCATGTCTTCTGCAGAGGTCTGCAAACGTAAGTGACTTCTTATGTGCGGTGAAGACACATGAATGGTGGAAGAATCTTTAAGAGAAAGAGATCAGTAACCCCTACAGAAGTCACTCACGAGTATTGCTATCCTTGCTTTGTACTCCTTTCCTAAACCAGCTTTCTGATCAGAGGACATCTTCCTGATTTTCTGTGTCCATTTCTCCCCCTGGTATCTATCACATATCTCTTTTGTGATAACTGCTGCTGTTGTTCAAATGCATTGCAACCTGGCAAAAGGGACATGCACATGTTATGTAGCTGTTTTCTGCATCTCTTGAGACTGTGCCTATGTATAAGCTACTGTTAAATTCCATTTGATTGTGCAACATCTGTGCACATATATACCTACAAGACTGGCTGCAGGAGGTATAGGAAGCTTGGGACCATGCATATCCGCCTGGGAACAAACAGATCAGGGCTCACTCAGTCTTACCTCTGGATTCAACAGCTGTATTATAGGGTGCTCTGCCCAAATGAATTGCTTCATTAACACCTCAGCAGGATGTGTAAGGAAGTACCCCAAGTAGAGAGACACTAATGGTTGTACACAGAGGGTGTACAACCCCTGGATCAAGGCAGTTTGCACCCAGGCAGTCTGGAACACAGCCCAAATCTCCCTTACTTAGTGGAAATATTTCCCGAGTATCCTGCCAGGCCTCGCACATCTGATTCCTTCTGGCATCTATATGGGATGTTATTTCCAACAATATACATCATTTAATTTCTCCCTTTGGACAGTTTTCCTTCCCTATAGCTCAGACATCATTTGCCAGCAGAGAAAGCTTCATCCTCCATCATCTATTCTCATACCCACTGGCACAGTGTGCTTTTGAAGCTTTCCTGACCCTCTGATGTTCATAATCAAGATTCCTCTTAAGCACTTAGGGTACAAACTATCCTCTCCCTAAGACTGTATGGCCTGTCTTCTATTGTGGCCCATTTCTAATCCTGTTCCTAGCTCCTACTCTGAGCAGATTTGCTACAGGGAAATGTAATGAGAATAAATTGGTGTGCCAGAAGATTAGTTTTCAATGTCATAGTGCCTGAAAGAATCTCTGTATGAACTCCTGTATTTACCAGCAGGTTGATGGTGTAATAACCAACATCTTGCGTAATATTAGACAAACACTGAAGTCAAGGAGTGCTGGAGAGCAGCAAAGAGGTAAAAGCCCACTGAAAACCAGCCTATCTGTGTGGAAACCCTAGAAGAGGCTGCCTGGATGAAATGAGACCTTGACTCTACCTCTGCCTCTTTTGTCTGGTCTGGTTACAGGCTTCTCAGTACCCCCTGCCAATACTCTGCACAGCAAAAGAAACTGCTCAGAAATGTGCCTTGTTGAAAGAGCTTTATTCCTGCCATGCCAGTCAAGCACAGTAATGTTCTTTTCACCTGGGAACATGCTGCTGCCAGCAGAAGTTCCCCAAATGCAATTGTTTCCACTCTGACTTGCATGCTTGGGTCTAGATAGCTGCCATCCTGCTTCAGCCACCTGCAAGTGATGGGTCTTTTCTAGGTTGTACAGTCAGTGGAGAAACAGTGGGACCTCTAACAGTCTAAGGTAGGTGCCTTAGATGAGCTGAATTGCCCTCTAGAGGATGTCTGTTTCTCTTCCCTGATTTCAGTGGTGTTCTGCACCACTAGCCTGCGCTAGAGTTTCTATTGGTTGAGATGACTCTAATGGGTTTGATTCAGCATGTAAAGGCATGTGTAAAGGATGCTTGCCATATCAAGATACAAGGAAAGGGTGTTGCAGTTCACTCTAGAAAGCCACAGCTATTACAGCAGACTGATGTGTGAAGGATGCTTGCACCTATGTGGAAACAGAAGGCACACTGCAGATGTAACTACAGAGTTAAGAGTAACCTGGGAGAAGGTGGTTAGTCTGTGCCTCTTTAATTTCAGGTGAGGAGGAGAATTCCTACAATGTTTGACAAATTACTTTATTAGGGTAGTGTTCTGTATGATGAAAGGACTGATCCCCAAACTTCCCCATGTGGTTTGCAGACAGTGTGCACTTCATTTATGCTGTACTTCTGCAGAGAACTTTCAGAACAACTTTAGTTGTTATCAGTGACAGCAAAACCAGAAACATCAACACAGGCAGAGTTGTTTTGGTTAGAAGACTCTGTTTGACAGAGGGAAGATTTCAGCTCCAGGACATCATCAGCTCCTTATGCTTAGAACGGATACTAAACTGAAGGGCCTCATGCAGGATGTAAGATAGAGACCATCCTTTTGGTTGCAGGTCCATTTCTCTCATACCTCAGTCTGCTGACCACACATGGAAGAGCTGCCACTTGTGGATTAGCATGTCTGTGAGGATTTACATGTAGCAATTCCAAGGCATCATCTCACTTTGAGAAAACCACACTAACAGTGTCAGACTAACACCACTAAATGAAAAACCCACCCACTCGGCAAGTGCTGAAAAGCACTAATAAACTGCAAACGACAGACTGAATGGTTGATTTTGGTGAGAGCAACCAGCTTCCCATTCTGAACTCGGAGGGGGAAATAAAACCCTCAATGGGAGATCAAAACTTGACCCTTGTGTACAGTAGACACTGAGCTGAGAAAGGCAACGTGATGAAAAAGCTGAATGAAACGCTGTGCTAATCCCTTTGAGAAAGCACGCTTGAAGAGTGCTCTGCCATCCAGAGCAAAGTCCAGGTTCAGCTGTGACATCCCCCTCAGGCTCCCAGAAAGTTAACAGGACACTGCCCAGGCCCAGATAGTCTTTAAGCATTAGTCATCATAATGAAGAGCATTATCTCTTAATCACTGCTAGGAAAAGAGGGTTGTATAACAATTGGATGCCCTGGCACTATCTAAACCACCCTTTGCTGACTCTCCGAAGACATTCTCTTGGGGGGGGAAAGAAAATATATGTGTTGAAATTTGACATGTAAGTGTGAATCTACTATTCATTTTGGCTGCAGAGGTAGCCTGCCTCTGATCCTTTGCTTCCCCTGTTCCTAGGGGGATGAATGAGCCACGTTGTGTGCAGAGCCTTGTTTTGACACTGCTTAGATCTATAGTAAAAGGAAGGCATCAAAGAGCCCCGGAGCAAGGCACACACCTGCCTGTTATTGGGGGTGACAACACAGGATTAAGTAGTTTGGATACAGACTTGTACGGGAGCTTTGGCTTGGAAGCCTAATCATTTCCTAACCAATGGCTAGAAAAGTTGCTGTATCCTTGGCTCTTTCCTGTGGCTTATTTGGAGGCTTAAGGGATCCTTCTGAAATGGCACCATCTTTTGTATCCACCCTTTGCTTAGCTTAAAAAATAATGCAGCAGGCATGTAAAACCATTAAAAAGGGTCTCTAGGAAAACAAGCTTTATTTTACTCTCAGCACAAGGGTTGAAAATTAAAATGCCCCCAGATGCACACACACACAGTGAAAAGCTCTGCTTCTCATCCTTTTACTCCTGAGCAGGGGGGGTGAGCTTCTAATTGTAATAGCACAAAGGCCTGATCACATCTTGGTTCAAAGTCGGCCTTAATCAGCCCTGGCCACACACACAGCTGTCTATCTTATTTCCTTCAGTTAAGAAACAACACTGTCTGAGTCAATCCCCACATCTGACATGCTCTATAAATTGCCTGGATTTGGTCACATGCTCCAAAGATGCACATGTACATATTTGACATTCAAAAGCTTGGTTTGGTTTATCATTCTGCCTGTTCCTCGTAAAATAGTCTGCTTCTGGCTCTATCTCCTGCAGTATTATCAGGCAGAAACCTCAAAGTCCACTGAATTACTTGGAGCAGTTGCTATTTTCCTGTAAGTTTGAACCATATTGTGTTAACCCATATTATATTTAACATCTGTGTCTACTGACATGGGGAAGACAGCTGTGCTGAGGGCAGACAGACTTACTGAGGACTTGAGTGGAGGCTGCTGTATGAATTACTCATTATTCCTTGTCTCCTTTTTTTACAGTAGCTTCTGACCAAACAAACTTGGGGTAGGAGTGAGACTAAAAGGCAAGAGGATGCTTTGTGAAGCTTCATGTCTAATGGCCAGTGCTAAAGTACAATGATGAAATTGTTCATTGCACTGCTGTCAAGGGGAGAACCCAAATAAACCAGCCAGCTCTGAGCCAGAACTGTCTGCACACCGTCCCTAACATAATTGATGATGCCTTTGACAAACAAGGCCATTGTCATGTTGGCTGGTGTTTTGTTAGCCAGGGAGGCAGATGGAGAGAAAACCTAGGGTTTGCCAAGAGAAAAGCAGCAAAAATCAGCAGGGAAAGATGCTGTGTTGTCAAATATTGGGAAATGTAAAAGAGTGAGGTTTTGGAGACTTGCTTTTATGCTTCTTTTGTGAGGTTTATCTGCAAATCTGATACTATTAAACAGATAAAACCCAGTCAGCAGCAGCTGCCCCTTCAGCATGTGACGTGTGGGCTCTTATTTTGGGAGTTACCTTAGCTGCACAACTGGGATTTTGGCTGTAATGCTCTGGAAGCCAGACAATGTACACACCCGAGCTGAAACGCTAAACAAACACAGACTGAGCAAAGCGTTTGCAAGCCACTTGTATAATTCATCTGAAAGTGGTGTGCATTTATTGGTTCAGCTTGCTCTCTGATCTACCAGGGGCTGTCCCCGTTTCTAACTGGGGAATATGCCCCATGGCTCATTTGGGAATATTAGTTTTCCTGAACTGTAGCTCCAAAACGAATAAAAAGGCATTTATTTCCTACCTCCTCCTCAGCTTCTGCCAGTCATTGTCCTGGAAGATTTTTCCCTTAGGGATAGGATGGGAGAAAGTCTCATCTTCCTCAATCAGGGTCTAGCCTCAGTTGGTGACAGGTAGTCTAACGATGCTGCTGATTGATCCATCTGTTCTGTGCCTTTAACTGATGAAACCTGAAAACCAGAAATAAGGTGGGAATAAAGAGAGACCCAGAAGTTGTAGGAATGTAAGAAATTTAAGGTGAAAACTCCACAGAGAGATCCTACATATAAAGATATTACGGTGAAAATAGAAACCTGGATTCAAGCCAAGCCAGATGTTGGCAACCTCTTGTTGTGGCTCAGACCTGCCTGCAGTAGAGGAAGCATTTCCCCTCCTTACCCCCAAACCTGACACCCATGTTTTTCAGTGATGGACAGAACTAAGTGTCTTCTCTTTTAGGGTGATGTGGTTAGCCTTGCAAAAATGTGAGCAAAACCAGTTCAAGTTGAGCAGCAACTTGCCTTTGAAACAGTGTTAGTGAGCATTTCGTCTTCACGGGCTCTCCAGAAGGGAAGCAAAGTCCCTGGGTTTGCTCCCGACGTGAAGGCTGCTCTGTGGCAAACAGGCGAGCTGCTGCCATCCGCCAAGCAGCTCATTGTGCCGGCTACATTGCCCATGACAGCACGTTTGTGTTCTGGCCTTAGGCTATTGTGGCAGTGCCCCTTGAAAACAAGGGGTGAGAGCTGTCTACAGCAGAGTGTAATAAGAGTATTAAAAATACTGGCATAAAGAGCACGAGGCATGGTGAAAAAATAACTACATAGGAAGCAGATCATAAAAGAAATGCCCTTGAAACAAAATTGCTCACCTTTTTTCTCGTGCTATTTTCAAAGGGTATTTTCTTGAGCATCCAATATGAGTTTGCACATGAAAGTGAGTCTGTCCCTGCTACACTTAATGCTCTTATTAGTCATATACTTGCCCCTTCCCTCTGGAAAATGTTGCATGTGGAATCAGAGCGTTCATTTGGTCTCTTATCTGTGAGCTCATGAAGAAAAGGAGTTTGATTAGAAGCAATGATGGGCCAACTTCAAAAGCTTTGGAGCTCATGTTTGGTTCAGATAAGCATCCAAAGGCTGGCCGCTGATGCAAGCTATGCAAAGACTTTGGGTGCCCAACATTTAACTGAAAATCTCTGTTAAAGCGGGTCTTAGCCATAAGAGTTCTTTTCTCCCCTTTTCCAGATGGATGAAGTAGTGCTGCATTTCCCTTCAGTCCATGCTACAAGCAAAAGCCAGGGCATGCTGCTTTATTAATACAAAAAAGAGCTGAAATCTGAAGGCTGGAGTTCAGCTCAGTTCTTATTTTAATCAAATTAACTTTTTTCTGTACTAAAAATATGTATTTTAAATGAATGTATTTGGGTTTATGGTTCCCTAATTAAAAATGAATCCTAAATTAGGAGACACTGGTGCTGGCGGATAATCTCATATGGTAAACAGCAGTTTTGTGATTTCTGTGTTCACATGAGGGACAACATAGGCAATAATTACCATGTTTTACCTCATCCATGCTAGTGAATCTCTTTGCAAAACACTTTAAAAGTGAATCACCTGCAAACCCCTTTAAAAACAAACCCACAGTGGAGGCTTCCTGCTACCACTCCAAAAGCCCTGGCTGGTCAAGGTTTGTGCAGCAGGGAAGAAGTGACTTTCACACATAACTGCGTCCCAGTTGTACTTGTTTTGCTGTGCTTAATGAGTTAGAAGCTTAATGTAGGCTGACAATGCAATGTTTATCAGCTCTGATTGAGGAGAAGGCTTAGGAGACCTTATAACAGTCTTCAATACCTAAATGGACCCAACAAGAAACCTGGAGAGGGGCTTTGGACAAGGGTCTGTAGGGACAGGCCAAGGGGAATGGCTTTAACCTGCCAGAGGGGAGACTGAGGTGAGCTCTGAGGCAGAAGCTCTTCCCTGTGAGGGTGCTGAGGTGCTGGCACAGGGTGCCCAGAGAAGCTGTGGCTGCCCCATCCCTGGCAGTGTTCAAGGCCAGGTTGGACACAGGGGCTTGGAGCAACCTGCTCTAGTGGAAGGTGTCCCTGCCCGGGGCAGGGGGTTGGAGCTGGAGGAGCTCTAAGGTCCCTTCAACACAAACCATTTTACCATGAGGACGAGGGCACGAGTTTATCAGCCTTGCAAAGATGTCACAGCCGACCCCATGGCACACAACCCCAGTCACCTCTTACCCTGCCTCCACAGCCTGTGCCTGCCAGCCCATGGGTTCAGCCAACGCGACCTTCAAAAGATGCCACCCCAAGACAGGGTTCTGCTACTGCAAACCAGGCGTGGCGGGTCCCAGCTGCGACAGGTGCCTCGTGGGCTACTGGGGCTTTGGAGAACACGGCTGCCGCCCTTGCGACTGCGCCAGCGACTGCGACCAGCACACCGGGACCTGCTTCAACGGGTAAAGAGGCTCTTCGTCGGGTCCCTGTTGAGATGGGGTGCTGTGAGAGGAAACGAAGGTGAACCGAAACACTGCAGCAGTGGGGGGTGCACAGCCACTTGAAAAGGAGGCTGTAAATCACGAAAGGTTTCTTAGACCCCGTTTGGTGGCTGGCACACTTCAGTCCATCGTATTATCTGAGGCAGTCTTGAAACCATGGCTTTCTGCAGTAATAATAATGGCAACTCCATGGGAATACATGGCTTTAAGCCGTAACGGTTTTAAACTGACTGCAGTTTCATGGGCCCTGCAGGTGTTCCCAGTTCCTAATGACTAAGTCACTAACTTTGAGTTACTTAATTCAGTGAAAACAAACCAACAAACAAAAGCCAAACAGACACAATACAAACCTGAGCATTTTTCTGCTCAGCCTATGTAAAAGCCTAGCTCTGTTACCTCTCTGTGTGGCGTGAAGTCTTGCTCTTATTTGCACTCTCAACCTGAGGAAAGCAAGCTCATCTGCCTGGATACAGCCACAGGCAGCAGACACGGGCTTCCCACCCATCCTGTGTCCTAACCATGTCTTCTGGTTCATGCATCCCCCCAGCTATGACAATGAGCCATTCTTCAACATCCCCATCGGGGGCCGAATCCCCGACCTTGTGCAAACACCAGCCAACGAGAGCGAGGAGGAGTGGAAATGGAATGACCACGAGCAGGGATTTTCTGCACTGAGGCACCCAGGTACAGCCCAGAGTCTGGAACCTTTAATAACTCCACACGGTGCCAGTTCTTTCTTCTCTCCACCCTGACTTAAATTCCCCCACTCATCTCTAGCTTGTCTGTCCCCATCTGCAGACAACATCTGCTAATCTGAACTATGGAGGTTGTTACTACACTTCCACTGGTATTTTCCAAACCAACTTTACTATTCAACTTTGGGTTTGGAAATAGGTGAGTCACGAGTAAGATTGTGTGGAAAAAATACTCTCCTTTTGTTGCTGAACTTCAAATGCTATTTGGGAAAAGATGATGCCAGCCATCACTGAAATGCACCACCCTTGGACTGGAGTCTTACAAATCTCTATTAGTGTCAGTTTATGAACTGTACCATAGACCCCATGAGAGCTGCATTTTGCTTGACAGTACCTATCAGATTTCAGAACAATTTACTCTGCCATCAAGCAGGAAACAGATTTGCAAACAACTGAGCTCACTTGCAAGTTTACTCTTAATGTCCATCCAGATTATGGCAGCTCTATCCATAAAACTTTATAACTGAGTATCATTTGCTTTTCTTTTCCCTCTCATGTCCTGGCTCTTCCTCAACCCTCTGTGTTCTGTGGTTCCACTGCTAGAAAAGTGTGTTTGCAAAGAAAAGGTGCTTGGAAGCGTCTCTGACTTCTGCCAAATGAAATACGCTTATGGTAAGTGAGTAGTAACATATCCTCAAGGCATGATAATTTCAGAGTGTTCTCGCTATGCATGTCATTAGCTGATTGATAGCTATGAAAAATGACAGCACTGGCTAAGGCAGGAAGTAAGAGGTAGGATTTCTACTGCCTTTTTTGACATGTTCAACTTCTGATCAGAGCTGAATAGCATTTTTCATGCACAGTTCTATGGAGTCTTCTTTCCACCCAGTCAGCTTCCCTCTCCCCAGCAGCAGGAGTCCCAGAATTGTAACTCTGCATCAAGAATGAATGATAAAAACCTTGCATCTAAACCACCACTGGTTTTGCACTGGTCATGCAGGTTCACATGGCCATGCTTGTTTATCAGGAACATATTTAATAGTGTATTTTAGGATCACCTGCTTCATGCCATCACATGAAGCAAGAAAAGAAAGCTCTGGGATCCAAAGGCTTGATGTGCTTGTGTCATGACACAACAAAGTCTGCTTGTGGGGCTAATCTAGATGGGATTACCCTGCCAAAAAGTTATGGGATCCTCTTAAATTAAAGGCACAGAAATTAATCACAGCAACCAGCTGCTGGGCCACAAAACAAGAATGCTTTGCCTGGTTTGTTGTATGGAATTGTAGCCATGTGACATGCCTGCAGTCTGATGGGAAACTTCCTGACTTCCTTCCTGGAGAGCAGACAGTCCCTTCCCACAGGATGAAGTTTTTGAGAGGCCAGTGTTGAAGCCCAACACAAGGTTTCTAATTGCGAAATATAAAGCCTGGAATCAGTGCACTTAAAACCAGGCTGTTACCTGCTGATCTGTTTTTAACACATACAAGTGCTTTCCTATGATTTCCAAGTGTTTGACATCAGCCTATTAAAAAGTAATTGCTAAATAACATACTGAAAGGATCAGTTAACTACTTCAATAGGAAAATCAAGTTTTTCTTCTCCAAATTTATGTAGAAGAACCCTGACTGAAGTGGACAAGCACTGCAATACAGCTGCAGTGATTTTTGTTCATGTCTTCTTTCCAGGCATTCAAATTCTACCTTTTAGCAGCATAAACCAAAATTTATTGTTGTTTTCTCTCTTGATACGTTTTCTGGCAGTGATAAAAGCAAGAATCCTGTCAGCTCATGACAAAGGGACCCATGCAGAAGTTGTTGTGAAGGTGAAGAAGGTCCTGAAATCAGGCAAAGTGAAAATCGCTCGGAGCAACAGAAGCATCTACCCAGAATCCTGGACCAACAGGGGATGTACATGTCCCATTCTCAACCCTGGTAAGGACAAAATGCTTACCAGCTCTTTTCCTTCCCCTCTAAACTGTGGTGATAATTCATTATGGACATGAGCTATGGCTGCATTCCTCAATTCAACTTTCCCTATTGCTGCCTTTCCTGTAATAACAGCTTAGCTTCATTCAGGTTATGTATGTGCCATTTCAAGTGTATGCACACTTTGATGTGCATATTGTCAGTGCTGACTCCTGTCCACACAAGTTCAATGTTGTCATAGGATTATGCTCAGGAATTACAACTACAGATTGATATAGTTCCAGTGGTCTTTACCACTTAGAGATTCAACACCTCCAGGTGCAGGTGACCAGGTTTGAGTCTGATCCGTCTGACCTTTGAAGCCATGTAACTCCATGTGCTTCAGTAGCATTACTCTTGGCTTGTATGATGAGAAGCAAACTTGATCTGAACAGATGTGGAAGCTGGTATTATGTATGAAAATAGTGAGTCAGACTTCCTAGATTATAACTTTAAGATGCAGGTAGCAGGGCCTCAAAAGAGAGGCCACTTCCTTATGAAATAGAGAAATTCTGCATTTAGTTCCATTTTCTTCTATTTATTGACTATTGACTGAAGTTTTTTGTCCCTCTTTATTTGTTTCAACTAGGTACTGACTATCTGATAGCAGGCCAGGAGGACTCTAGGACCAGCAAACTCCTTGTGAACATGAACAGCCTGGTGAAACCCTGGAAAGCGTATTTGGGAAAACAAGTATCAGATATTCTTCGAACTGGATGCAAATAATTTCTGCTTCAGGAATTACAGAGCTGAACTTTGCCTCTTAGTAACACTGCAGTGAAAGGTGTAGTTAGCTCATGTGTTTCTATTCAAGATGCTCCTAGCTGAGGTGATGGAAGCAGACTTACCATCCTTCCTTGTTTCACACACGCAGGAACATTGAGACATGACTCCTTTTCCCAAAAAGACACAGCCTTACCATGCAACATTAACTAGTGCATCGTACATAGGCTCCAAGTCAGTCCTTAATTTGGCTTAAGCCTGGTTCCACACACTCAGAGAATCATTTTACAAGGCAAAACTAAAGATATGGACTAGTGTTTCCATACTTCAGGTCAGAGTCTGGTATTAATGTGTATAAGCTGCTTACACAATGCATTCAGTACTTGGGTGTAGTTTTCTCTGTAAGTGACCACTAACAGGCAGCAGCTTCTTTCAGCTTTACAAGTGGCACAACACTAAACAAGCACATCAAATACTATTTAAAGAGCTCTGATTGCTGTAACATCAGACTGCAATTATGCCAGTAGAACAGGTTGTTTTCTAGAAGGCAATATTATCCCATTGCTGAACAGGAAAACACTAACGTGATTTCTCTTCGGACAAGGTCCTTTCGAGATGTACATTACTATCATCAATGCTTAGGGCTGCTGCAGAAACTGCCTTGGCTCAAACTTGACTCCAGATCTAACCCTTACTCTCTGAAGTAATTTTGCTCTTTGCTGTAGTGCTTTAGTTTGTAACACCACAACGGATTCGCAGCGATTACCATGAAAAAGCCTTAGTGCTAGGGAAGAGCCAAAACACATGAGGAAATAGCAGCTGCTCTAATGTTGGGATTGTGACACTACAAAAGCTGCAAGGCAGAAGCAGGAGGAAGTAAACGGACTGAGTATAAAATGAGGTAGCTACAGCCTCTGTGAGAGCAACCTGCTTGTTGGAACTGTGCTCAAGACCACCGGCATTTGATTGGACTTAGTGCTTTCATTCTGCTTTATATCACATTAAGGTATTGAAGTTTGGCTTCCCCTTGCACCTGAGGATTATTTTTCCCTCCACAGAAGTACAGGAGTGGTAACATCAGCACTCTAGGTAGAAGTAGTTCTGTTCTGCAAGAGCATCCTTTCTAACTCAATTTTACCCTATAGTAACTAAGAGGTAGCTTCTTAAGTCATTCCCTAACACAGTATATTGAGGAAAGCGTAGTTCAAGACCTGCATCCTCTGTTGAAGGACTCACAAGCAAATGAAGCTGCTTGGAGCACATTCCCTCTTCAAATAATGCAGAAACTCTGAGTCAGTCTGTTCCTTCAGGGGGTTCCAGGGAAGCAGCATGCACACGTGCTACTTCTGCATATTTCTGCTCCATGTCTGTAACTGTTTAATGCTCCCAGGAAAGAGGAGATATCTTCATCCAGCACTGTCTGACTGGCACGTGGAGTACCTAGAAAAAGCTAAAATCAATGCTGAACGGTGGCAGTCTTACCTGACAGCTCAGGCCATCAGTTTGTTCTCCTTATCACCAGTGCCATTTGCTGCTGGTTTCCTTTTAACTTCATTTGGTTGAACAGCAGAAAATCCTCAGCTTATTTGGAAATGGATGATAGGCAGATATTTACAAAATACACCCCCCACTTTTTCCCCAGCAGTGCATAAACAGTGTTTCTGCCTCCCCCTTGCCTCTGACTTCTCCTCTCCTCTATTGCCATCGCTTTCCTTCTTTCACTTCATTATTTATTTGTTGTTACCTAAAGTGGTATCCAACAATGTGGCATCTCCAGAAGCCATTTAATTACTGCAATAAAACACTTTTTAACCAAGGAATTTGGTTTAATTTGCAATGTCAGCGTACAGAAGTTAAGAGCATAGCAACTGCTTTCTTTAATGTCTCCAGAAATCATCTCACAACAAAGACTGGCCAGTTCTCTTTCAGATCTCAATAAAGATGTGTACATGAATTTACAGTCTGTTCTGAAAGGCCTCCAAGACTAAATGAAAATCAAGTTTAGGTTTAGGACTAAGCTAAGGAACATGCTTCTTAACAGAGGCTGTTTTACCTGCGGGGGATCTTATTTAATGATGCTCATATTCCATTTTGGTTTATAGTCAGTACCACATTAAAGCAAACTCCCATATTCCACTCTTTGTGCCAGCTTGGTGATTTTGTGGGGAGGGTGAACATCTGCATAGTTCCTTAATTTGGGTGAAAAGTTATTTTTTAACATGGTAATTTACAAGCATTTCTAGCTATTGCTAGGGGAAATGCTATTTGGAACAAGAATATTGATACCCTGGTGTGTTCTCTTGGGGACTGCTGTAACACAGTGATCAATGACTACCAACTGCAAACAAGATAGTCACCAATATAGCACACATTTTGGATATCATGACATTAGGTGATATGTGCACATGCTTTAAAGAAAAGAAATTCAGCTTATTTCTTCTCCTAATTTCCCATTATTTTGAATCTCTAATTTACTTGCTGGTATCTGTATAGCTCAGTTGCCTTCACTCCCTCCGTTAGAAACACTGCACATCTTGTTCCAATTACTAGCTGGTGTTTGATGGTTTTGCTCTACAGAGTAGCAGCTATTCCATAAGCATGGAATGTAATTCCAAAGTGAAAAATGAAAGCACATCAGCATAAGCCAGCACTGTAAGTTGGCTTGCTATTGGTATCACTGTTTCTGCTGATCAGGTATCTCTGAGTTCACAGGGAAGAAAAATGAAAGCATAAAAGTTCCAGCTCACACAGAGCTGCCACGTGCAATCTCTTTCTTCTGCAGTGCTGTGCTCCCAGTAGCCTGGCTGAAAGTAAGTGTCTGAACAGCAATGAACTGCACAGACCAAGCTACAACAGCTATTGATTAAAGAAGAGATGGGAAGGTTGAAATTGATCAGCATTTGGAACTAAAAGGGAAGGAAAGAAGTCATTTTCCTGAGCACTGGTACCTGAAATGAAGACAAGCATGAGACAGTGTAACATGACAACTGTCTTCCTAGTAGAAGCTGTTAAGTATTCCTCAGGACAAGCGAAGAAGGCCATACATAGCAAATGATAAGGATTACCATAGAAGGTGTCATATTCCTGTACCAAAAAGAATTGGTTTGTAGGCCTGTGTACGATATCATACACCTTGTGATCCTCTCTGTGACTGTGTGTCTTGGGTGGCACAGTGATAAAGAGCATACTAGCACACAGAGAAGGATGCATTTGCCCAATACAGAAGTGGCTGAACAGCTTCTTTGAGTACATCTAATTTGAGTACATCTAATTTGAGTACAAATCTACAGCACCCAAAAAGACAAGGTGCCTCATAAGCAGTGGCAATCACATACTTAAACAGTAGCAATCATGTATTGCTTGGAAACCCTGCATAAGGATGAAATAAAAGCCTTTACCCGCAAGAAGTCTGGAAAGCTGTGGAAAATACATAATGGGCAGCTGATTGTCTGAAGCAGAAGCACAGAACTTTCCACAGATAGCAGCAAATTCAGGATTGCTGGAGGTCAAAGCAGCTCTTGAACACATGTATCCACGAATACTGATCATACTGGCAATAAGGACACTTATGTTCATTAAATGGCCATTGTTGTGTGCTGAGCACTAACTCCAGCTACTAACGCTTCTCCAGCTTCTGCTCTTGGCAAGCAGCTAAGAAGGAAAATGTACCTACACACAACCTTTGTGCACTGCTCTTCTGTGGGTGGCTCACTACTATGAAGAAGTTTTCTGTGTAGCATTTACCATGTCTCAGTTTTTCCATGCTGCTTGATGCAAGCTTTCTCTAATTGAGATAACTCACAAGACGTGCTCCCTCAAGTCCTCAGGCCTCAAAGGTGTGTTGTTATGTGTTGTAGCACTTCTTTTGTACTTAAAACTTCCATTAAAAATACTCAGACACTTACCCTGATGTGAGGTTTGGGATCTATTTTTAAGATTTTAAACCATGCAGTCCTCAAATCACAAACACATTAATTCTTTTTAAGTTACTAAACCACAGACATTCCAAACAGCAGGTTTTTGCTTCAATAGCGTTAGCACAGCCAGGCAAATGGAGAGAAGCATTTAGCTAATAAGGCAGCCATGATACATGCTTAATTTATGTAGGTGGCATGTTGATTCAGAACTGATCAAAACCCAGTCCTGCTAAGTCTTACATGTAGGTGCTGAATTTGCATAAGGAATATACACATGAAATTCTACTGATTTGAGATCTAATGAGGTCTAAAAAGCACTTAACATGTCTTAAAACTACTCCTTTACACAGAAGTGATGCAAGGATACGGCATGAAAATAGGAATGTGTGACAGGCAGGTGCTCAGAACTTCGGTAGGTAGAAGTCTGCTCAAGTCAGTCTCCATCCTCTAATGTGACTGGCTGTAGGGGAAAAGGCAGCAAGGCTAGAATTGAGAAGGGAACAAAAGAGAAAACAAAAGGAACAGGGTGGAGGCAGCAACACTCTCCTAAAGGTAAGAAAAAGATTAGAAACCACAGATGTAGAAATCATACATCCCCTCTCGCATACAGCACCCCACAAAGGGAACAAGCACATTATGAGATGCTTTCACCTCTTTAGGAGGGATAAGGAACTTGTCACATTCAGAAACAAATCAGCTGGGCCCATCATCAGATCTGGTACAACAAACGCAGCGTCCACATACCCTGCACAGCACCGTGCAGCATCTGGGTTCATCTGCAATGTGCAATCACTACAGAGCTTCCTGTGCTCTTTGGTTTGGCTGTGACAGATCATGAGCTGTCTGCTCACAGATACAACAATAGCCACTTGTAATAAGCTACTGGACAAAAGCCCCCCAAGAACAAAAATACTTCTTTTTGGTTTCGAGATCACCCCTCCAGTCAGGCTCTGGCTGCTGCCTATAGCTTATGCTAAGAACAGGGAATTCTCTGTATCTGAGAGACATCCTGCTGCTTCTCCCATGCTCAGCTACTGATCCCTAAGTCTTGAACTAGAGTTCTAGTCATCCTACCCTGTGCAGTCACCGCTCACTCTCAAGTTCTCAGTATCACTAACATAACATCAGCTCCAGAGGGGTTAAAAGGAATTGAAAAACAACTGCAGGCTGGTGCTGTGAACAAAATGACTAGAGCTGGCTGAGAAGAAATGACAAAGTGCTGGTAGCTTCTCTACACTATCCCACACTAACCAGAATTTTAATGAGAAGTAAAAAAAGAGTCCAAGAAGCAAATAATATCCTTTTTTCTCTTCCCTAGGAATAGGAAAGTAGGTTCTACCTATTGAGGTAACAACTCTCCTCAAAGAGATTCATTGACGTGTGATCAGATAAGTGCCTCCGATGAACCGGAGACATCACTGTGAGGTTTAACAAGGACGTGCTCAGTGAGGATTGCATGGGATATAGATCTTGTTTCCAGCATAGCCCTGCCAGATCCCCAGATCTAATGATCCTCAGAATGAGCTGCGAGATAAGCATCTCCCTCCAGACACTGTTGTGTACATCATGCCTGCTGCAGGGAAGAAAGAAAAATAAAAGGTCATATTCACACCTGAAGCAAGGTCCTACCTCTAGGAAAGTTACTAAGCACAAGTTAGGTCTTTGAAATGCAGGTAGGGTGTACTGCAGAGAAAAGCAGAAGAAATCAATACATAACTTCATCCAATTTTAACCACTTTTCAGTAGTTCACTATATTTCAGCATATATTTTATGTTAAAAGAGACAAGTTTTATAGGCACTGTTTACCTGCATCAGGAGATGAGACACATGCTGCACTGAGTCAAGTCTGAGTTGATTGCAGGAACAACCCCATCCTAACAAAGAAGTTACCACAAGTACAGATGAATTTGTGGCCTGCCTCAATCACCCAGAGGTTCCAGCCAGTTGGGAACAGTCCTACGCAACCTTCAAAACCAGGGCTTGTTTCACCACAGCATCAACTCCAGAGTTGCAGGGTGTCCAACAGCTGAAGAATTGATTGCAACTTGTAACACTTCAGTTTCCCAAGTAATACTGAACAAGGCAGTATTTTAGGAGCAATGATGGAAGTCTGTAGGACAAATACAGTTAAACCCACCTCCTTTTACTGTTGATCTACATTCTAATTCCTAACCTTCCACTGAAGTGCAAGCTATACCACATGGCTGTATAGTGTACTTCAAATGAACTTCAAATCCAGAAGGAAGTCTGACTGGATTTTGCTTACTGCAGCAAAATACAAATTCTATGGCAGGAAATGCACTCTAAGAACTAAACTAGGAAACATGAAGGACTGGACTCTGTCTCTCAACATACAACCCTAATTCCTTGTCAAGCAATTCTATATTGTGAAAGTTTTTAATGGTGGGGACTTCCTTTCTCGAAACACGTCAACACATTACATAGTGTTTTGCAATTTCTTGACGTAAGGCCCTTACATATATTCCATATTTACACAAGAGGTTACCCAGCCCCAGCAGAGTCACAAAGAAGAAACTCCATCCTATACACACCTTCAACTATGTTACATTATATGCTGCAGGTTCTCTCTGTCAGTATGAGGTTCAGATCCCGAGCTAGCACCAGGATTCTTGCACTTTATGTTTCCTACCCAGATGTTTGTTAGAAATAGAGAGGCTAAATCCCAAGCCTGCAGAGCATTGAGGCAACGTGGGAAAGAAAAGCACAGCAGAAAAAAAATAGGACGCAAACAGTTCTCAGAACAGAGCACTCCTTCACAAACACCATTTCCCTTTGAACAACCAAAAGCTTGGGTGCACGTGATGCATTTTTATTTGGTGTCCAGTGTTTATCTGATTGCCTAAGATTCCATTTTCATGGTCCAATTGCCTGAGTGCCAAGGTTTATCTCTGCTGCTTTTGTGCCCATTTACTCAGGTTAACTTGGCATTTGCCTTCCTACGCCTGAAAGGGTCGCACTGAGAAGCTCTGTCAAACTTTGTCTCTTTTAAAAGCAAAAAGGTGCTGAGAGTACCTGCTCTCCATGCCCTTGGAACTGAGCAGTTGTCAGCCACCTAATTTCCTACAGGATTTTTTGAGGATCCAAACAGCTGTACTGAGATATAAACAGCTCAACCACACTGTAAAATTTAACAGAAACTCCCCTCAAATATTCAGAAGCATCATCACTAACCCCAAAATAACTTGTGCAAACAAGATACCAAAACATTATATGGAAGTAATGTTGCTGAGCATCCAAGACTGCTGCCCAGTGACAGGCAAGTGTTCAAGCACTACTAGCCTTACTGGGCTGCATTACTGTCACTACAAGTTTATGCTTTGGTTAAGTTAACCAACACACAGGAGACTAAAAACACAAAGCAACCAACTACCATGCAGTGAAGTTACTGAAGCCCATTTGTTCTGTAACACAATCCTCAGAGCCTGCATTCTGCTAGGAAAGATGTAGCATTCCCTTATCCACAGGTATTAAACAAGAGCAAGTTAATTACTAGCAAGTTATTTACACCTCTGAAGTAATTTTCAACTATTTTAATAGCTGTTCAGATCCCCCGTAGTGCTGGTTCATGATCCAGTCTACAGGTACTGAAAATGCTTTCCATTTTTCATGCCTTCCTGCCTGAGGCTGCGGAGAAAAGCATGGGACAAGAATAAGAACCTGCCAAGCTGGAGCAACTGATCTTCCCAACCCACAAACTGATTCGAAGTCTGCTTACAATGCACAAGAGTTATTTCAAACCCAAGCAGTGTTAAAGAAATACACCACAACGACACAGGAGTTTTCAATGAAGGTAAAAAGTGTTTGCTTTTTAATACGCACTTCAGTCACAGTATCTGTTTTGAGAACATTACACCAGGTAACCCTTTCATTGTATTCTCAACATATTTTATGAGAGCCTGTCTATACACTGAAGGAGCAGGTACTAACTACAGGAACCCAAAAACCTGTGGTTTCAGAGCAGAAATAAAGCCAGTGACCAACATTCTTTCCATCCATCTTTATCAATGGTTGCTCAACACACCATTTTTAAATATACAAACCCCAACACAATGAGTAAATTAAAATCAAAGAGGAGATGAATTTCAGCATTGTTCTGACATCCTTACCTGATGCCAGTAGTAAAATGCAACCACAGTCTAATAGAATCATTCGAAGTTATTTTGCAAACTGGATTTAGGCAGTTTTTAATGTTCTGTATCATTCTGGCAAAAAAGAAAAATCTTTAAGGAAAAACAATCATTTAATGCCACTTGTATTAGTAGAACAGAATACATTAAGAAGAGCAGCTATGGATCAGAGCATACTGAAATGAAAACAGACCTGGTGTGCTAGTGGAATTTCAGTTGAAAGCTATATATTTAAACATGTTATTCAAGTCCAAACTCAAGGAGAACTTGAGGGTCAAACCAGCTGTTAAGGTATTAACTGTGTGATAGCACCTTACACAGTACACACACACTTGTTTTAGCAGTATTTATTTGCAAGACTGTAGCACTGAGATTTCTCCTTCAGCAATAAATTATTTACTATGATACAGTGTCTAAGACAATGGTGAAACATTTCTTGACAACTCAGAAGACAAACATACTGCACAAGTCCATGTCTCTGAAAATGAGAAACGGAGACAACAGCCTCCTTGCATCTTCATTAGCTAGATCCCTTCTCCTTTTTGGCAGCAGCAGCCTCCATAGAAGCCGCTTCCAAATCTTTGCTTGACTTCTCTTTTTCTTCAGTTTCATCCTCTTGAGGGTAAAGATCTGGATATTTTTGCATGCATGCATGGCACGGAATTGGTCCACACAGTCTGATCCCTTTATTTCTTCTGTGCTATAGTGGAAACAAGAGAAGGCTGACTTGAACTGTTCCCCACAGGGACCACTAGCCATTCCACCCAGGCACGGGCAATTCCAATTGATATCTCCATTGGGCAGTATCAATCCTGAACAAACGAGAGAGAAAAGAAGTTAAAGCTCCTTCTAAAAAATGGATTTCATACAGTGGGAGCTGCTAAGATACAGGTATAAGTGGAAATACTCACAGTGCCCTATTAGTTCTATAGCTTCAAGGGTGCTAAACATCTTTCACTTCCTGGCCAGTCTGTTTCTGTCTCTGATCTACGTGATCCTTCTACTGGGCACAAGTGAGATCAGTTCTGTATCTGTGCCTGAATTCAGTCTTTCTCCTGAGAATATCCTAAGTAAACTTCAAAACAGACTGAAGTCAAGTCAATCCACTTGCCAGACTCTGCCAGGGGAACAAACAAGCCTTAAAATTGTGTCATACAAGTCCTAAGAATTTAATTCCAATATTAAGAGTAGCAATCTTTTAAATCAAGTTGGATGGATGCAGTTTTCTTTTTATGTTTTAAATGAACTAATGAACTCTGGAATACTAACACACAACTTCAGTGTTGATCAGTCTCCTTTTCAAAACATGAATTCCTTAGCATGATTTAGTCAACTACAGCAATACTGTCATTTTTGATAGATCATGCTTTATTTGGCAAGATAGATTTGTAATAACCACTGTACTGAGATGTCCCTAGTACAATGCATGTGGCATCTTTAGTGGCCTGGAGGAAAAGCAGTACTACTGAGGAGAAAGAAATGGATGGCTGGTGCCAGATTCCTTATTGCCAAGGATGACATAAAGCAGAAAGATGTTGGTCATACAGCGTAGGAGACATATGACTTGCTTTGTAAACTTGAAGTCCTATATTCCTCCTCACCAACATCAACCAGTCATTTTAAACAGTCAGTTTTCTAATACTTCAGAAAGAAAAAAAATACATGAGGAGTTGTGAGATGTTCCTGAAGACACCACAGCAATAAAATAAACTGTAAAATAATTCTCTTCAAATAAATTGTTCCTTTTGGAACCAGAATTGCCTCGTAAACATGCTAATCTTAAAAACAATGTAAGAGTTATCCCACAAACAATATATTCCTGTATATCACATGACCATTGTTTTGTACCTATTTGATCAAAGAAATAGCATCAGTTTTGGAAACCATGCTTTATAAAAACCCCAAAGCAAATATAGATGAATAAAACAAGTATTTCCTCACTGGTAAATACACCAGCAGACACACTTCAATGGCAAACTCCCTGTTTACATCACAGAAGATGAAGACTTGCATTAGCAATCAACTGTGAACATCATACTTCATCTCTCTTAACTCCTGGGATCTGTTAATACCACAGATGAAGGCAAAACCACCTGCATTTATGTCAGCACTTCTCTTTGTACTTGCTGTAATGGAATCCCACAGTTGCTCTGAGAAAAGTTTCTTCCCTGTTTTGTGACAAACATCCCAATAACAAGTTTATCTGCCAAGGGTTCACAATGTAAGATGACACATAGGAAGCAGGATTAAGGGGGACATCATCAGTCATAAAGAGTCCTGTACAGCTGATCATTCATCAGGTTCTTTCTTAAAAGAATTAGGGCTTTGCTTCGTCAGTCCTCTGTGGAAACAGTTTTAAAACTGCCTCCAATATAAGCTGCCAGGAACAAGTGTGGAAACAGAGAAGGGAGAGGACAGCAGCAACCTGTGATTGTGATGCAATTCCACAAGCACTTTTAGCCAACTCTCCTATCACAGCTGTAGTGCTAATAAGAATTACTTTCCATGCATAAAGCTCGCCAGTGCCTTCTTCAGGTAAGACTATTAAAATAAGAAATTATTTAACTGACAGGAGCAAAGATCTCAATGAAAACTAGAGCCCTTTAACATTTAAATTCTTCCATGTGCAACACCAGGAACAAGCTTTACAGTGAGAACGCTATTTCAAACTTCTGCAAATGAATTCTTAACTTGTTTCCATCAGCCACAGCTGTTAAGAGGCACATACAATGAACTCTAAGACACGCTGCAATATGGGATGCTAACTTTGTCTGCCTTCCCATTCCATGTGGCTTCACTTCTTTCAGTATTTTTGCCTTAATATAAGCCATTATGATTTTGCCTTCCAAAATCTCATAACTTATTTGTTTTGTTCTGTCAATGTCCTAACTGATAGAAATAAAAAAAGGATACTATACAACTTTATTTTCTCCCAGAGGAAACAGAGCACAAGTTTTCCTGAGTGATCTGCTAACTAGACTCCTCAAAAGACTTGTCTATTGATGCCTGAAGCAAAATGAAGATCAGCCAAAAAACCCAAAGTACACATTTATCTTGAGTATGTAAAAGGTCCCTATAAAAACCCCAAAACCTCAAATAATGTTTCAACTGTATTAGAAAACAATACTATAGAATAAATATATAAAACATCTATAGATATCTATAAATGTATCTATAAAACAGCTACAGAATACATCTGTTCTTCCTCAGATATGACTGGTCTGTGTATAGCACAGCAGAAAAGATGAAAAGAGTCATTATAGTTAATTAGGCCACAGAAGTTGAAGACTGGAAACCAACTCTTCCAATAAAAGCAGAAGCTAAATCAGGAAAGCCTGCACATTGCTTTATGTACAGCAGAGCCCTTCCCATTTGCTTTTGAGTAAAAACCACACAAGCTTCTGCACTTCAACATATTCCAAGACATTTTGCCCATATGCCTTTCCTGCCCACAAATTTCACGCCCACTAAATGCAACACTGTGATATGTCAGTAGTTTCTGATTTGAGCTGATGCATTGTAGCCCAAGACTATTTGAGTGAGAAGTTTTCAGAGAACCCTTAAAACATGGCAGTAACTCTCCAAATGCTAAGGAGAAAAAAAAAACCAAAACCAAAACCTGCTAAATTTTATGGAGTTTCTCATTTTAAATCATACGGACACACATTTTCACTGCAAAGTGTCCCTGACACAACTAGCTTCTGGCTGTGTTTTCTTCCCTACTCTATAATTTAGGAAGCAAGTGATCTAACATGCTGTAAATACAGGATTGCCAGGAAAAAAACCCACCATCTCCCCTCCTCACCATGGCTTTACACATCCAGCAAAATACACCTGAGAGGAATCAATTAATATGACATTAAAAAAAAGAGGAAGTGGCTCTTTTAACTTTGACTAGTTTCTTACCAAAATATATGGCACAAGACTTTATGCTTGGGGTATATGTACAAAGAGAATAATTTGAAGCAGAGTGGTGGGGTGTGAGACAGCAGGAAGAGAATCCTATCTTTAGAGGTAGCACGAGAATTGTTTTCTATGTTCACACGCCAAGCCTTTTTAGTAGGTCTCTACTATAGTAAATCTCACCCTTCCCTTTGCTCTTAGGAGGCAGTGTCAAAAATAGATGCTTAGTTATAGGACCAATATGCATCCACATGCTCTTGTTAGAGAGACATCTTTTACTAAAAGAATATTTAACTACCACCAAAGACCATAAATGATAAGGGAGAAGACAAGTGAACTTTAAGCAACCTCATATAACATCAATATATGTGAATGCATACACAAATTAATTTCACTGAACAGCAAGCTACTTTGTTTAGCTGTACACCACCTAAAGTGACTTAACAGCTCAGTGAATGGTAAAGTCTCCAAGGGTTTGTATGCTCTCCAGATGTGATACTTCAGAAAAAGTATCTTTGCTTTATTTTGCAAAGTCTCCAGTTTTTCCAGAGGAAACAAAGCCAGAGGCCACAGAAAAGGAATGGGGGGAACTTAATTCCACCATCTGATCATTAGAGGCTGTTAACTTAACAGACAAGTAATGGATTTTACATTTGCCTGAGGCAGGAATTAACTCTTCCATGTAGGAAACTGCCAGAAGCAAATACTGTTAAAAGGGAGCTCTCCTGAGACACTGTTTTCCACCTAAGGGTGAACTACTTTATGCAAATGATTTGTAGGTTTCACCTTCCATCCTGGTCAAGGCATTAACCAATGTAAGTGCCATGTAGATTTCACTGCCTGTAGGAGTCTCCATGTGAAATTCTTAAGGGCTGAAGCCCCATTCCCAGGGTGAAAATAAGGACAAATCCCAAAGCATAGATTGTTTCCACCAAAGAGGCAGTTTGAGTGTTAGGTCTTAGCCAGCAAAACAACCTGACAGTACAAGGTAGAAGAATTCCTGACTAAATACTAAATACTTAGTAAATAAAGAGATACTAAACTGCAGTTTTAACACACCTTTCTGAAATTCTTTCATTGTTCTTATCTGGATCACTGTAAGAATGAATGAACTCATCACTGCTGATGAGCAAAACTTTCAGATATCATCATTAAAAAAAGGCATCTCCTGACTACATACAGTTGTAATGTAACCAAAATAGGCCACTAAAAGCAAAATCATTTCAACACAAGTCTAAGTATGAAAAAAGTTATTTTAATGACATAGGAGGATATGGTTCGAATTTTAACTGCTAACAAAATGACCTTGTGTGCTCCAGCTGAATTGTGCTTGAACACTGCCCTCTAAAGGTCTAAGAGCCACCTCCATAACATTTACTTCATCAGAAAGGGAGAAGCATTTACTTCAATCCCAGCTGATCTGAAAACAATGAGATCACACAAAGAGGCTAAAAGACCTCTAAGCAACAATGGCAACTAGAAAACAACCCAATTCGCAAATATTCATGACAATTTATTAATCTGGGGCAAAGTTTATTTAATCATCATGATGGGAAGATTATTTCATTTACCCATTAGAAGCAACCCAAAATATGCTCTGCACAATCAGAACATTACAAGTCTTGATCTCAGAAATATTCTGCTCTCCTACATCTCCATTTGCAGGTTAGATCTACTTCATAAAAGAACTGTAATCTTCACTGAAAACTTTAACTGACATCTTTTCAAGGCAAGATGGTTACAGTTGAAAACAAAGTAATTTGAACTTACCTGTCATGTGCCATTGAAAGATATTACTATGAGTTACTGATTATATTGCTACTACTATAGTACAGGATTAGTCAGATATAATTTATATTAAATTGGATATTCACAGGTCACCAAGTCAGGCAATTCCAGCTGCACACAGGCAGGTGAGCAACTCACATCAATGACAGTGGTATGTAAATCACTTTGGTGCCTCTGAAAATTGTATTTCATCATTTAGAAAGTGAAACCACAAGCAAAATTTTCACTGGTTAAGCTCTACCTTCTCTAATAAAAGAAAGGAAAGAAAAGCGTTTTCCTGGATATCTCTGGCTACTAACCAAAACTATCAGCCATCCACTGATGTATTTGAACAGGCCACTTTAAAAGAGTATTAAAACTGTAGGGGGAAAACCCTACACTGTAAGGAAAACATGTCATTTGTGATGCCCTAATTTGGAAGTTAAAACTGCTGAGAGTTATCTACTAAATAACCAACTGCCCTCAGTGTTTAAAAAATAATGAATAATTTGTTCCTGCTTCATACAAGGTTTTTCTCTGTTGTTCTTGGTTTTTAAGATTGGTAGTATATATGTGATGTACCACTCCTTACTTCTGTTCTGCTTCCTACTGACCTTGTTCTTCATAAGGGTCATCTGGGTCATCTGCAACCAGCTCAGCACTGCTCGGTGTCTCGTGGTCCTCCTTGGTCGCAAATATGATTCTGTCTTTTCCTGCCATATGAAAGGCAAAAAGCAAAAGTTCAGAGAAAGATGAGACAGGAGGAGTAATTTACAAAGCTGCTAAACACCACAAGGTAATGAGATATACAGCATGATGCATTAATGTTAACAGTGAATTAATCCTGTTGTACTTATCATTCACCTTCAATTGAAACAGCTGTTGGTTCATACACAACTGACATTCTACTCTTCTGAAGCTCCAGCTTTCGCAGCAACACACTGTAATGGCTGCAGATCACAGTACAGTTCATCGAACTGTGAAGCTAAAAAGCTAGTTCAAAACAAGCTCAAACTACTCCATTACCAGGACTAATCCAGATGAAAGGGAGAGACAAAAAAAAAAAAAAAAAAAAAAAAAGAAAAGAAAAGCTATACTAAAGTGTTCAATAGGGTACTTGTTAATAACTGTGCTCGACACTGAAGTCTGGTATTATATTTTACAGTACTTATCTGATTAAAATACTGAAAAGCACCTTAACAGTGTGGAACCAGCTACAGCACAAGGTGCTGTGAACATTACCAAGGACAGAAACCCAGCACAGCTCCTTCCTGCTCTTATGCCACTCCTGATTTAACAAAAGTTGTTCAGTGGGGTGGGGGGAGGCTTGGCTGGAAACCCGAGTAGAGTTTTCTAACAACTATACACACTCTGAGGCAGAGACAAGCAGAACAGAACAGCCAGTTGAAACTCTTCTGAATGCACAACCCAGTATTCATTGAGTGGAAAACAAATGTTAAGTTCCCCAAGAACTTCTTTCTGTTCTCCAAGTTCATAAGGCCACAAGAGTGACTTAGCATATTAGAAACTAGTGTCTTTTTGCCCCTCAATGCGACCTCAACCAGCTGATGTTCAGTAACTTCCCATTACAATATGTCAGAGAAACAGATAAATCGAAACCTCTTTTAACAGGGAAGCAGTTTTTTGGCAGTTCTGTATTGTACAGTTAATGTAGAATGTCCGGTCACTTCTTACATAAAAGGAACTAGACATATGTGAACTCTAACCCCTGTCACTGAATTTTGTAGACAACTCACAGACCTTTCAAAGATCCAAGATGTTAAAATAAATAAGTTAACAATAAATCAAAGAGGTCCATAGGTTACGACTTCCTCACCACAGTTCACAATCGGCATTCGATGTGCCAAAGTTTATAAATGAAAAAGTGGCATTTAGAACTATAGAATGGCTTTTTCACAGTTTGAAACTTCACATTTGATCACTTTACATTGCTTAAGCGGGTGGGAGGGTTGTGGGGAGGGTGAGTATCCCACAGGCTATGAAGTGGTCAAGCCTCTTGAACACCACAACCCGTACAGCATAATACCTTGTACAGATACAGAAATATAAAGCTCGCACTCTGCCCACCCCCTGTCCATCTACAGCGTTTCCCCTAAACAGGTAAAAAAGAAATCACCTTTGGCCACTTCAGCCGGCAGAAACCAACCCTCCGGGAGGGTGCTCCGGGACAGGGAGTCACCGCACCGCAAAGCTGCCGAGCTAAAACCGGAGCCCGGAGGCACAACCCGCTCAGCTCCGGCCGCTCGCCGGGGATGTTCCAACACCCGCTGCAGGGCGGCACTTTCCCCGCGGGGCGGGTGTGGGGACCCGCAGCACAGGCCCGCCGGGAGG